TTACTATATATATATATATATATATATATAGCTAGATAGGTAGACACGTATAGTTTGGCCTCATTCCTTCTTGTTAGCCTCGTAGCAGCTCACACACACACGCTCAAGTGGGCCGTTCTTTTTCACTGCTAATTGGAAGTTGGAGCACGCATCGCAAAACACAAAACCGCATGCCCGGCAATGGTGTCGGCGCCGTGCGAAGTTAAACGGCAAGTGGCACCTATTACAGTTCAGTGCAACGCCATCCTCTTGCCACTGAATATCATCGCCGGCGTCCCCAGTTTCTCTCTTTGTGCTCGGTGGCGGCGATGGCTTGTATTGTAAAGGACGCTCCCCGCTGCACATATCACACTTCTCTTTTGTGACGGCATTTTGGTATGTACAGGTTGGACACGGCCACGTCTTCGCGACCTGAGCGCCGCGCGTCTCAGTTCCCGACTTCTTCTTTTCGCTTACTTTAGTTTTGGGTGGGGCGAGATGACGCGGACGCTGCCCACTCTGGCACGCCTCACACACGGCACTGCTAACAGGATTCTCCAACGTGCACACCGAACACTTCCACGTTGTGGGAGCCGCCTCAGCTGCAGCTTGTGGTGTGGGCCCCGGGTCCAGCACAGGTGTGCCGTTGCTCTGATAGCTCTTACAATCTACACACCGTGCCGCATTGGCAGCGTTCTTTTTGCCGCAAATGCTACATAACCAAGCCGATGGTGGCATAGGAACACCTGCCGTAACGCCTGTAGAGTTTGCATTAAATTCGCTAATAGGCGTGCCGTTTTTTTGGTAACTGCCGCAGATTTTGCAACGCGAATGATGCGCCTCATTTGGTGCCAAACAAATACTACACAACCATGCCGTTGGTCCAGCCAATTCTGACGGCACCGTCGCACCCTTTGGATGTGGGGTGAATGACGAAGGCGCATCACTGCGCGTTGTAGGTGGTGGAGCAACATTAGGAGAGGGAAGGTACCCTGGACGATTCGAATCACACATTTCACATTGGTTCACATCCAATGCATTCCGGTACGTACAAGAAGGGCAACCCCAGGTTTCGAGTTCCTCCCTTTTTTTGCGTTCTCGCTCACGCTCTTTCTCTAGCTCCTTGCGAAGTTGAGTGATCTTCTCCAACTGTTTCCTGTCCTCCTCCTCTTGTGCAAGTGCAGAACCGTCCCTACTGACAGTGGGCGATGTCACCGCGTCCTCGGAGTGGGATGGCGGGGGCACAAAGGGCATGGCGGCATTCTGCACAGCTTGAGGCATAGAAGCAGCAGCAGCCTCCGGCACCCCCGGAGAGGCCTGGTATGACGCGCCATAAGGCACTTGAGTTGAGGTGGGTGCCGGGTGATAAACCGGCTGCGATGGAAGTGCGGCTGATGACACACCGGGCGGAAGAGGTGAGAAAGGCAGCTTATATCCGCTTCCGCCGTACGACTGCGGGGCAAGTGAAGGAGGGCAATAAGCTTGAGAAGGCGCAGCCGTGGCGGGCGCATGAGTGGCCGCCTCAAACGGCTGCATCGGTGGTGGTGGTGGTGGTGGTGGTGGCGGCGGCGGTGGTGGTGGTGGTGGCGGCGGTGGTGCGGTTGCATTCATACCAAATGGATCTTGCTGCATCCAAACCGGTGGCGGTGGTGGATCGCTCGGTGGCGGCGGAGGCACATAGTTCGAGACTCCGTGACGCTGTTGCTGCTGCCGAGGTCTCGTGTCGAAGAGTTCATCCAAGTCGAAGTTCATCCAGCGTGCGGTGAGCCTTTCTTGTGGGCTGAATGATGTTCCGCAAAGCGCGGTCTTTACTCCTACTCCTTAAAAAACACTTGTGGGCGGTAAAGCCGCTTTTGTACTCAAATAACTAAACCTGCCCACATGCGTGCATGCATACACACGGCAAGAGAGGCAAGGCAAGAAGAAGCGGAGTATGCAAAGGAACCACATCCGCGGTCCGAGTCACGGAAAAGAGAACGGGGGAGTGAGCCGCTGTTCTCGCAGACGAGACCAACAAGAATGGAGTGACGGAGCCAAAACGGAATCCGTCTTCGCGTCAACCGCAGCTTCACACTTGCGCATGGGTGGGCACTGAACCCCACCATTCGCAAATAATAGCAAGCAAGCAAAAAAATAATAGTAACAATAAGCGGGGAGAAAGGCCAAAAAAAAAAACTCCAAGGCAGAGGGGGAACAGGTAAAATTCAGGCCTGCCCGAGACTCACGACAGTACGGCTCGTGGGCCACGCATTCGTTGTGCACCCGTCGAGGGATTCACTTTGCATCCCGAATGATGGTAGGCAAAAAAAAAAAATCGTGCAAGTTAGTCAGGAGCAATTGCACCTTCATGGGCAACACTAGATTCGTTAAAAACAACCGCTTTTCGCGTGGGCGCCTCCGTCGTTACGCACACACCCCATTATTGCGGCCCTTGCACAACTGGCGCGTCCGGCACCATCGCCGCCTCCTCCTCACGCCTCGTTAGTAAGCTATCCACCAAAGCTCCAAATGCTCCGTGCACATTTTGCCCATTCCTCGCAGACGTGTGCAAAAATGCTAGGCCCCTCGCACGACAGACCTCTTCGGCGTGGTGCACACCTTCCCGCTGTCCATCGGTCGCAACGGCATCGCATTTGTTCCCACAAACGACGATAAATTCGGTACTGTACTTCATGTGGGGCAGTAGCTCGGGCAGCCAAACCGCCTCAAGCTCGTCAAAGGATTTAACTACGGTCCCATCAAACAGAATTGGCGCCGCCGCGGCACGGCGAAAGCAAATTGGAGCCATTGCGCGGTGCTTTCCCTGCCCGGTGGTATCCCAAAGCTCCATCCGGAGACTTGTATTGTGCGCCTTTGAATAAATCTGCTTGGAGAAGAACGCCGAGCCAACTATGGTGTCTTGTTACGCGTCAAAGGCATCAGTGATGAAGCGTTTCGTTATCGACGTCCTTCCGGAGTCGCTAGGGCCTCAAAGCGCAATCTTAATAGGCAACGCCCGAGCTTCAGATGTCATGGCGCCCGCCCGCCTCTTCTTCCTCTACCTAGGAGAGTTGGGCGGAGTTTCAGTTTTCCTTTCCTTCCTGTGGGCGCCGTTGTCCCCGCTACTCCTGCCGGGGTGGGGCACCTCCCCCTCACATTCCCTCCCGCCTCGCTCGCTCTACCCAGCCCACACACACAGCAGCAGGGTGAAACAGGAGGCCTCGCAGAGAAAACGGGGGAAACAATAACAATAACAACATCTCATTAGCAAAGCACTGCGGACATGTGAGAGGAACCCTGGCGGCAGCAGGAGCCACGGCGAGGGCAGCAACAGCGAGAACGAGGAAGCTGACGCCGAAAAGGGAAAACAAAACAAGAAAGAAGAACCAAAAAAAAAAAAAATCGGTCATCACTTCCTTTTTTTTTTTTGCACACACGCACACACACACGCAGGCACACAGGCAGCAGTGGGTGAAGGGAAATGCAATGGGGATGGGGGAGACACACGCGAAACATGCGTAGCAACTCCACGTTGCTTCCTACTTCTCACCTCCCCGCGGAAAGGAAAGAGACACGTATACACACAGAGAGATGAATAAAAGTAACCACACAGCAGCGCACCACCCACATGTTGGTCACACCCTCCCCTTCGGCTCACGAGGGTCACGCAGAAACAGGGGGGGGGGAGGGAGAGAGAGAAGCTCACACACACACGACAAAAAAAAAAAGGGAGCCATGGTATAGGGTGAGTGAAAAAGACACTTAAGCGGTCACCTCCCTCTTAGGGAGCGCAAGAGGCGGACGAAGAAGTGGGAACGAGAACACGGTGGGACGAAAAGCAGGAAACAATAAGACATATATCGATGTATATATTTATATATATATATACATATGTATATTTGTTTATAAAAAAGAACAACAAAAATAAAAATAAAATTAAACAAAAAAAAGAAGAAACCCCTCCCGCTCCCATACATAAACACGCAAGAGAAAAAAAAACAAGCAAACAAACCAAGGCGAAACAACAACGAAGTACGTACGAAAAGAAATAGACATATTACATACATGCTTTATTATGTATGTACGTACATGTATGTATATATATATATATATATTCCTTAGGCTCTTATCGTCTTCTCACCCTTTTCATTGCTGTTGTTCACCATCACAAATTATTATTATTTTTCTTTTTTTATTGTCGTCCGCTTTTCTTCCTGGCGCAATGCTGCTCGTTGCTACATCTCCGTATTCAGAAACAAAACAGTACTCCAAGATATATATACTTATATATAATTGACGATTTAATGATATCTCTTATTCCCTCACCCACTCGCCTCGCCCGGCTTCACTCCTCCCCGCCCCCCGCGACCTCGCAGTCGGAGGCGACAGAAAAACATAGTCGCCAAAATGCTCTCCCCTGCCTCAGCGATGTGCATGGCGCGCAGAGGGAGGATTTTTTCTGTAAACGGGGCGGGAAAGAAAGACACACAGACGCAGAAACACAATCAAAAAAAAACACAGAAAAAAAAGTTATGGGGATCAAATAAAATAAAGTTGATACAAAAAAAAAAA